TCCACATTTCATTGCTTTCCTATTAAAGAATTGCATCTTTTGTTCTTCCAGAAAGCCAGGTAACAGTGTAGCCGAACATGAGTGAAGGAAAGGTAAATGAATCTATTCCTTGCATCTCTGAGAACAAGAAGAGACATATCAGTGTGAGGTTGGGTTTGAGTACAGTCACAGGGCTTACTTGTTTTGTTTGACAGTCTAATTTCTCCTCAGTCTACAGAAATATGCGCGTCTTGTCAGGAAGCAGCAGGAATAAAAGGTAGAGTGAATTCTGGTGTTAAACTGCACCTCTCGAACAGAAACAAACAACAAAAATATCTATTTTTTTCATTTATCCCCTCCATCAGTAAGCGATCGCTGTCTAACAATCACCTGTTGTCTGTAGGCTTTACCTCTGCGTCTTTCAAAGTCGCCATAATCTGTTTTTAATTGCAGAGGTGGGTGCCGTTATCCTCTTTGTAGTTTCTCTTGCCTTAATACGGCTCAGTCTTTATGTGAATCAAATGATGCTAAAGGCATCAGAGTCTTTCGGTAAGAGGATATTACTGCGCACATGATAACAAGATTGAGTCATGTTAACACTGTTTACTATAATCTACTTGCAAGTACAGTTATCTGGAGTGTCATCAACAAATATGATCTGAGCTGCAGCTGCTGATTCCCACAAATGACTCAAAAATAAGAATCAATTACAGTTATCCATATGGCTCCACTGCTTTTGCACGCATTAAGAGCTTAATTGCATGTGGATTTGTTAATAAACAAATAGACAAGGCCCCTCTGGGTGACGAACACTGCTTTATCAGCATACTGCTGCACATCCTTGACTAAACACTGGAGGAACTAAAAGCAAATATGCTGTAAATTCTCATTTTTTCAGTATCTTACAAAAGAGAATGTACCTGTTTGTTACCTGAACACATTACAGATTGTTTTGACTCACGTTAAGTTACATGTTACAATCACTATGTGCATTCCCTGGGAATCGAACCCATGATCTTGCTGTTAGTAACATGTTCTACCAATTGAACTACAATTAAATAAAACAGTCTAATGTGATAAATATGTGTAAGTACCAGGAAGCAGTCCGTATTGCTATTACTTGCTTAATGGGCCTGAGATCACTATATGGTATTGTTACTATATTAAAACGATTAAAGCTATACAATACAATTGCACAAACAGGCAGTTTACGATCTCCATGGTTACTGTTACATTAGCTACAATGATGTTGATAACACTATGCCTAATATGATAACACTACATCTAAAGCATACATTCATTTCAGTTAATGTTAATTTCAATATTTACTACTACATTTTTTTTTTATCAACAGTTTTATTATTAGTTAATTCACTGTGAACCAGCATGAGCAATGAGCAATTGAATTTTTATAAACTAACACTAACAAAGATTAATGAATTGTTTATTGTCTGTTCATATTGGCTAATGCATTCACTGATGTTAACAAATGACATCATGACTGCCCTTTCTGTAAATTTAGCAGCATTTTTACGTTCAGAGGTCATGTGTAAACACGACCCATTCTAGAAATGTCTGATCCAGAAATATTCAATTTTAAGAAGTTGTAACATTGTTGGAGAAATTTTGCATTGAAGTTATTTTTTTAATAAAAGTAGCTGTGTAGGTTGGAAGCATCCACTACGGCAGCGGTTCTCAATTCCAGTCCTCGCGTACCCCCGCTCTGCACATTTTGTATGTTTCTCTTATTGCTTCAGACGTTTGTTATATTTGACTGTAAATGCCCTGCGAAGTGGACATTACCGGATATTCCGCCATGATTCCAGTTTGAAGGGAGCGTATATGTTCCAGACAAAGGGCATTTAATGCAGAGTTGCACGATTTTCAAAGACGTCACATCACTGTTGGTTTCACACTGAACGACTATAGGGTAGCATTCAGTTGTTGCTGTGTTCACACAGCAGGTGTGTAACCTCCTGACGACAGGAGGTTACACACTGCATGACTTTACAATAGGAAGAATCGCCGACAGCTCTGTCTGGTGCAGGTCGGCGATTTCGCAAAACCTGTCGGCGAGTGAAAAATCGGGCTAAAATCGTAAAGTGTGAACTCGGCTTAAGTGTGCGAGACGTGATTTTAAATGGCATTTATTTACAGAGGTATATTATGTCCCACTTCACCAAGAGAGACATGCAAAACATGCAGAGCCGGGGTACGCGAGGACTGAAATTGAGAACCGCTGCACTATGGCATGTCATGTTACAATGCTTTCAGTTGAAAGATGCCCTTTTCTCTATTCCTAATATGCTGTGGAGCAATTATTAATTAATACATCATCTTATTAATAAATATGGACAGACGCTTAAAAAGAATGGAGTGGTTTTCCGTCAAATGAAATCACAGTTTTAGCACATGCCAGTGCTGAGGTGTTCGCGATACGCAAACAATCCTGAAAGTCGTTGTGGCGTGCGTGAATAACAGATTTAGTTAATTTAGCAGAAAAGGTCAATTTACTGTGATTTACAGGTTTCATATGTGAGCATGGCTAGCATCTACACCAATCAGAGTGAACTTTAAGCCAGGTTGCACTTTTTTCAATCCATGTTCACCGAGGGAAATCTGATTTAGTCTGCGAGCGAGATTGATCCTATATTTGAGCTTGCCCTCCAACACACGGAGAAGAAATGTCTGATAGGTTTTCACTTCAAGGATACTTCCACTAATTTTTTTTTTTGGGGGGGGGGTTAAAATTCCTGTAATTTGAATTTAAATGCCACACTTTTGTCCATAAAAAAAAAAACATGTAAGCCAGAGTCTGGCAGCAGGGTTCTCAAATAATATATCTTTCTACAATAGAGACATTGTGAAGCTAGTCAGTAATAATAGCAGCCATACCTTCATCTTATCTCTTGCAATATCCTGTTGAGCAAATATGATTGCATAATTGCCATTCTAAAATGCAATATTAGGAGGTTATTGAAATGAGCTAATGTCAGCTAATGTTTAATTGGTTTCACTTAGTTATCCAAATCTTCATTTGGATTAGTCTTTATAGACAGTTCTGTGTGTGTTTGTGAGAAAGCAAAGGCAAAACAGTCTGAAAACAAGGATCTTAGAACAGTCAAAAGGCCACAGGGTTAAAAAAGGAAACTGTCACTGTGGGAAAAGGGAAACTTTAGCAGCTTTCTTGGCATGTTACTGGACTATGTCATATTTTCTTTTGTATTCAATTTTTTTTTTTGGGGGGGGGGTTAAAATTCCTGTAATTTGAATTTAAATGCCACACTTTTGTCCATAAAAAAAAAAACATGTAAGCCAGAGTCTGGCAGCAGGGTTCTCAAATAATATATCTTTCTACAATAGAGACATTGTGAAGCTAGTCAGTAATAATAGCAACCACACCTTCATCTTATCTCTTGCAATATCCTGTTGAGCATATATGATTGCATAATTGCCATTCTAAAATGCAATATTAGGAGGTTATTGAAATGAGCTAATGTCAGCTAATGTTTAATTGGTTTCACTTAGTTATCCAAATCTGATACTTAGCATGTCTTTATAGACAGTTCTGTGTGTGTTTGTGAGTAAGCAAAGACAAAACAGTCTGAAAACAAGGATCTTAGAGCAGTCAAAAGGCCACAGGGTTAAAAAAGGAAACTGTCACTGTGGGAAAAGGGAAACTTTAGCATCTTTCTCGGCATGTTACTGGACTATGTCATATTTTCTTTTGTATTCTGTGCTTAAGGGTCGATATCACTTTCAGCTGTGCCTTGTTCTCCTACCTGTCACCCATGTGGTTTTTGTTTTGTTGTGTGTTGCAGCATATATACTCTATGCCTTTTTTATGGTGTTAGCACTGATGCTAGTGTATTGTATTGTAAACATTTAAGGCTAATTCAGTCTTTGACTTGGCAACTAGCTGACTGGATGTGTGTGTGTGTGTATATATATATATACATACATACACACACACACACAGTCAGCTATTTGCCAAGTCAAGATTTTAAGGTAGTTCAATTTGACTTACTAAATTAACTAAAACTGAAATTATAACATAGAAAACTAAAAGCTAGTCAGGATCAGACCTGAAGCATTTAAAGCGACAGATGACAAAACTACAGCTCACGCTGATTAACAGAAGGTTAGCATATGCTGGTGCGGATGCTAATGCAATATCATTATAGTTATTTTTTTTATAGTTATCATTCTTGGTCTGAATGGCTTTTAGAGTATCTAGATTAAATATTGTTTTTAGATTTTATAAATATTGTGCATTTACATTCATGTTCACACATTGGACCCTGTTGTGAGGCCTTACTCTTTTTTTTCTGTGGTACCATCTTATCTTTTAGCCCTTGCCTTCTGCTGCAGTATGACCAGTGTGAGATGTCATCCCAGGTAGGCAATGTCATACTTTCAATATGCAAAAATGGTTCTGTAATGAGAGCTTCCACTTTCTCAGGCTCAACTATTTTTCTTGACTGCTCTTTCCTTGTCAGGTTAGAGAGTACAGGAGATAAATTAAGGGGCATGGAGCACCTGTAATAACCTGCAAACCTCTCGATAGCATGTACCTGCCTATTTGCAGTGGGTCTGGAAAAAGACTTGACCGCTTCCACCGTCTTCCTGCAGCTTTATTATGCTACATCTGATCTGGAAGCCCAGGTAACATGTTTCTTATAACCCTGGATGTCGCTTCTTCAGGCAATTCTTCTTGTACACTGTAAAAAAAATTCTGTTGTTTTTACAAAAAAAATTTGGCAGCTGTGGTTGCCAGAATTATTCTGTAAAAAATACATTAAAAATGTAAACATCTTTACTATTTAATGTAGTATAATTTACAGAATTATTATGTAAAACAAACAAACACATCCTGTAAAATTTACGGTAATTAATTGTTGGAAATAATGCCATTTAAAGCATTTTAACAAAAAAAATCCTGTTGTTTTTACAGAAAAAATCTGGCAGCTGTGGTTGCCAGAATAATTCTGTAAAAAATAAAATTTTAAATGTAAACAACTTTACAGTATAAAACTGTACATAATTTGGGAGCTGCTGTAACAGGATGATTGCGAACTACCGGGTGAACGATGCTGCAAGGTTGCGAGAGGTTCTGGCGAGGCACTAACAGATGAGCTGCTTGTTTCAGGAGTCTGGCCTTCAAAACACACAAAAAGAATGGTCAGTAACACAATCTGAATGTTTTTATATTTAAGACCTTTTTTTTAGGCCTGCTACTTGGGGAAGTGGTAGCATTCTGTTCTGCAATAAATGACTTACATCTCCGTTTCCAAATTTTATATTTAATTATAAAAACATAACAGTAAAAAAAATGAACACTTTACAGTAAGGTTACATTTGTTACCATTAGTTAACATAAATGTACATTTAACAATATACTTCTACAGCATTTATTAATCGTTGTTGGTTAACATTTACTAATTCAATTAATGGTAACAAATGAAACCTTATTGTAAATTGTTACCAAAAATTTGAAATGGCAGAGAAATTGAAACACCAAGAATGGGGGGAAAAAAAGAAAAAAAATATTAACTTACCACACACAACAAGGGTGGGAGTCAAATTTACTTTTTCCATTTCTACTTCCTCTGCCAGGCTTGTGTCCTCCACATAATGGTACATTGCGTCTTCCTTCTCGTTAAAGTAGGAGAGCAAAAGCAGCAACATCTCGGTCACGTCTTGAGAGCAACTACCCACCTGTTCCCTCATCATGTTACACTTTGTTACAGCCTGCAGGAATTTTTGGTTCTTGTTCACACCAACAGTACTGAAGTAGTTCAAGAGTCGTTTCCCCTTCAATTCCAGATTCCGCGTGAAAGTTTCTTTAAGACCAATTCCGGTAAGTTCCTTGAAGTGAACTGCCATGCCAAGTTCATTGAACCAAAATGGCCACTCCTCCAGAAGGCATTTTATATTTTTACCCTGGTTGACTTGTTTACGCTGTGTGTAGAAAGTCAACTTCATTAGATGTTTGACCTCCTCTAGATTTGCAGCAGTTTGCTGAGACATCATCTTCAGTTTTTCTTTCTTTTCCTGTTGGCTTTCAGGGGTCTCTCCAAGGGGCAGGAATTTTACGTCCCAGTTAATGCACCCATAAGTATCCTGGATTGCCCCCTCCACTACATGGTCTTTTAAGTGGCATATTAGTTCTTTTGCTGTGTGAAACCTGCGGTCACACAACGAAATGGCACATTTAAAATCGGCAACAACGGCTCTAGCAGTAACGGAGGATGCGGACTGGTTGTGATCCCGATAAAAATGAGCTTTAAAAGCTGCGTAAGTACAAAATGTCCGCTTACAGTCAGTACTAACACACTTGAAAAAACAATGGGGTTCGTTTCGGTGAACTCTACAGTGCAACACATAACCCCTCAACGTCTCTAGTGTTTTGCTGCAAAAACGACACTTAATCATTTTTAGCGAACTAACAAAATCGTTCGTTTTTTTCAGCCTTTAACAGTTAACTTACACTGAATCACCCCTCGGCATTATTATTACGACGGCAAAATACCCTCGGTCAAATACAGGTGCCTGTACGTCAAAGTCTTTAAAGTAAACGAACTTTTCTCTTACCAGTGCTTCAGTCCGTGATTTTGCTAATCGTCACACATCTCCACGCGCTGGCAGATTGGGCGCGCACTCACTAACGATCCGTGAACTTCGTCAAGATGGCTGCTCCCGCGATAATCAGAAATCAACTTCACTGCTTAGTGATTGGACGAGGCAGAGTTCATACTTTGAAATTCAAATGCAGACATTAATTTATGCAAGAATGTACATTGTACATAGAATAAAAATGCTGTTACAGTTAAAAATGACCTTAGCAATTTCATTGTTTTTCTATTTACAAAATTTTGATGTCATGATTTTACAAAAATTCACTGTTAATTTCAAGGACATTTTTTACAGTGTACCCTCTGAACTCATATCGGATGCTCTCATAACGGACGATTACATCATCCTTCTAGGCTGTTGCAAAGTCTTGATGTGGATAGACAATTACATCCATCAACCACCAGAACGAGTGGTTAGGGGTCTCTGAACTGATTTCTGATTATAGTTTTCTTCTGATTGTTCCCCAATCTCAACCATGAGCAGGCACTCAGATGAGAAGACAAAGTCATGCAGGGTGAGCTGAGAGCAAATTTTCTTGAAATTAATTTGACAATGCTTGCACCATCAATCAGATGGGCTCGAATGGTCACGGATCCCACCTCTTCACCTGCCATGTATAGTCCCTGCCAAGATGCAGGAAATGTTCAGATAGTAAGCGAACCAGTTTTAACACTGTATATCAAGAGCATACTATGTGTGTATTGGTTCATATGTGTTAGGCTTTGAACAGCAACATTTCTCATGGTTTGTGCCAATTTAGTTTTGCAAAGTTTGCAACCAATATATATTCATGACTCCTTTTGGCCTATAGTGGCCTTTGCGATTTGCTCTAAATGACTCAAAGTAGACCTTCATCAGTGGCAGCAGAGGGATGGATGAGAATGGTCCAGCATGGTTGTTGCCTTGTTTAATCCAAAAACCTTAGAAATGGCATTGGAACCTTTTCCAAACTGATGTTTCTGAACAACTTATTTTTCTCAGCAGTTTGGAGTTTCCTTTATTGCGGCACTTTTTGTTAGAAGCTTTGAGGTGACTACATATAGGTGAAATTTTAACTCAACAGGTCTACTTCAGTCCAGCGAAAATGTTGTTGATTTCTTTCTTTCACTGGGGAAAAATGGGGTAAATGGTATTTTTGGTAACACTTTAATTTAGGGACCAATTCTCACTATCAACTACTTGTTTAGTGGCATGCATATTACTAGCATATTGACTGTTTATAAGTACTTATAGCACATACCTTAATTCATGCCTTATTCTGCATGGCCATGTTTTAGATCCTTTAATCCTAAACCTAACACCTACTTTACTAACTATTAATAAGCAGCAGATTAGGAGTTTACTGAGGCAAAAGTCATAGTTAGTAGTTAGTTAATAGTGAGAATTAGTCCTCAAACTAAAATATGAGCATTTTTTTTGTTTCTTTAACTAAAACTAAATAATTATTTAAAAATTATGCTACGTGTTTGCAGATTTTCTTTTATCTAAAGGATGAATTTAGGCATGAAACCATTCAATGAGAGGAATATTTAATTAAAGAGGGAATCAGGGTGGGGGAAAATACTTTTGCATGTCAAAATATGCATGGATGTGGCCTTGTTTAAGCCTGCAGTTTTAAGATATCAGTGAGAATTGTCTCAGTTGATCAGGCGAGGAGGTTGTCGGGTTTCCTTGGTGGTCCGGGTCAATCAATCTGTGTGTGGGAAGGCAGAGAAACATTAGCAGTCTTCTCACTTTTTACTCACAAACCTGTAGTGCTGGCATCCTTTTTTTTTTTTCTTTCTTTTTCTTTTTCTTTTTCTTTTTAGCTGAAACCACTTGCAGCTTTGTGTTATTTCCTCTCGTGTGACTATTAATAAGCAGCAGATTAGGAGTTTACTGAGGCAAAAGTCATAGTTAGTAGTTAGTTAATAGTGAGAATTAGTCCTCAAACTAAAATATGAGCATTTTTTTTGTTTCTTTAACTAAAACTAAATAATTATTTAAAAATTATGCTACGTGTTTGCAGATTTTCTTTTATCTAAAGGATGAATTTAGGCATGAAACCATTCAATGAGAGGAATATTTAATTAAAGAGGGAATCAGGGTGGGGGAAAATACTTTTGCATGTCAAAATATGCATGGATGTGGCCTTGTTTAAGCCTGCAGTTTTAAGATATCAGTGAGAATTGTCTCAGTTGATCAGGCGAGGAGGTTGTCGGGTTTCCTTGGTGGTCCGGGTCAATCAATCTGTGTGTGGGAAGGCAGAGAAACATTAGCAGTCTTCTCACTTTTTACTCACAAACCTGTAGTTCTGGCGTCCTTTTTTTTTTTCTTTCTTTTTCTTTTTCTTTTTCTTTTTAGCTGAAACCACTTGCAGCTTTGTGTTATTTCCTCTCGTGTGTGTGTGTGTGTGTGTGTGTACTGTTTAGTGCCTTGCTGTTCAGATACCAGAGCTGCTCCCGCCTGCATACAACGACCTAGCCTTCACACTCGGTCATGTCCAGTTCACCTCAGAGGAACTTGAGTGGAAATGTGCTTGTTTCTGAAGAGTTTTTTGTAAGGCCATTGTATTGTATGTTGTGTATTGTATCCCCCCTAGGTCATGTGGTTCAATTTTCAGTGTTCTTAAGAATGGCTGTGGTGTTTCGTGATGTTTTTGCATTGACATATTTTCTGTGGAGCATGCATGCATTTTCTTCCTGAATGCTATAGACCGAATGGTCAGGGGTTGTTGTTTGTTCGATTGTATATACTGACCTTGGAATTGGAACAGTGAGCAAACTACTGTGTCTCAGCGGTTTCAAAAGAGGAGATGATATCCTGCTAATGTGCGTGTGGAAGATTCCAGCAATCCTTGAGACTGTGTTCAATGAAAACACAATTCGAAACCTTTGTCACATTGTGTGTCGCATTGATTTGCACATTCAAGCCAACTTTGATATGTTTACACTTTTCTTAGTGCAGAAATAAGCCATCTACAGATGCATATTATTTTATTGTCTATGTTTTAAGCTGCTGTTATATAACAAAACACTTTGATATGTTTTGCACACATTTGGAGCAGAATAAAAATGTCACACTAAATGGTTTAACTTCCTGTAATGGTTCATAGAACAGTTATTTTCTTCTTTTGTCGCTTTGAGAACAAAACGACTGTCAGAGTCTCATCTTTGTTGACATGGCTCATCTTTGATGATGCTGAGAGTTATATTTGTTATCATGTATTGACCAGGTAAAAATAGCCTGAAACTGATTGCTTGGAAATGCAGGTGCAATCAGTGAGAACGCTTTCAGCAGAATGGACATATAATTCAAAATTTTTTGGAGAGAAAAATCATCAGCTATACATGGATAACACATAAATGGATCTCTGTTGGATACTCATCTGTACAAACAATCATTGACAACACTTCCCATCATGTGTTGCTCTGTATGCCAATCATTAAGTTACGATCATTTGAAAGAACACGCAGCATGTAGTGTAAATGTGTTCACAATAACACTAATCTGCCTTAATTTGAATATCCATGCACAGACAAAAGGCGTTTTTTAATCCTCTGGAAAACTAATGTACTGTAAGAGCGGTTATTTATCATAAAAAGGCATAATGTCCATGGCGCGTAATGCCCCTTGTACAATATCTGGAACGTGCACAGTTTTTGTGGTGCACTTAGTAGGAGGTGGTGAACGTTGCTGTGCGCTACTTGTTTTTTTTTTAACCGTGTGCCACCTCATAGGGCGAGTGCGCTTTGGCAGTTTGCCTTGCCCCAAAAGCTACACTAGGATAGTAATAGCTGTAAGTCAACCAAAGCTTTTTTAAATGTGCATATTTATTCTTTTACCCAGTAGCCTGTGGGTTAGCTGTGGCAATATGTGATACTCGTTTACTGCCAGATATTTCTAGCTGATGTGATACAGAAAATTAGTTACATTATACTAATGAACAAAATTCTTCAATGCAAATATACAGTAAAGTTTCAAATTCAATGCTTAATCTTATAAATGCTGTTACATAAACATAATTTTATGACTTGCAGCTGAATATACTCTTATATCGTTCACTGCCGGAGACTGAATAATGAAAGACGGCTCTTAAGGCTTCCAGGGACAGCTGTGTCGCCCTTATAAACAATTCACTGTATGACTGGTTATTGAGTATTACTTTTAATGCAATTCTGAGAAATTATGTATTAAGCTAATCTTGCTCTGCCGGAGAGATGAGAGAAAGTGCATGGGCTTTTGGAGAGAAAAAAATAAAATAAATCACGAGACTTTAAAAGCTATAAATAAAGTCCATTTCCAAAATGGGCCATGATTCATTCTCTCAGTGTCATGCAAGGCAAGCTACATTTGAGTCCATATGAATATGGGTAACACTTTATTTCGATAGTCCACTTTAGACATTCTATTAACAGTAAGTAACTTTGCAACTACATGTCAACTAGCAGTTAGTAGAGTATTAGTAGACTGTCTGCTTAATATCTTCTAACACTTTCTTTGTCAACATTCTACTAACCCTAAACCTACCCTAACAGTCTACTCTGAGAGTTAGTAGACATGTAGTTGCAAATTAATGAGAATTAGTTGACATGTAGTTGACATGTAGTTACAAAGTTACTTATAGTTAATAGAATGTCTAAAGTGGACTATCAAAATAAAGTGTAACCTGAATATGCATTTTTATACAAATTGCTACTGTCTACTCACTTTTCAAAACCTGAAGGGCTCTTCTTTAAACACAATTAATGTAATTTATTAGCATGTGTAGATGCTTTGTTTTTATAATCAGTTTGACAAGATCCTGCCAGTGGTGCTGGCAACACAAATGCGTTTTCATGATTAAAGGGAATAGCATAGGACAAATAATTACCTTGACTTTTAAGTCCCTAACT